AACAAGTTTTTTAATATAATATGTTGAATCCATTACAACTAAAGTATTACCTTTGTCAGCTTTTTTAATTGCTCTGTTCTTTCAAGAGCATCAAGCACTCTATTTTTTAGAATATATTCAAAGAGAATAATTTTCAAAGGTCATCATTTTCTGGTGCTTTTTGATGAGTTTTTAAAGTTTGTTTTTACTGCCTCTGAAAGTCTTTTGAAATATTTAGACTTTCCTTGGAATTTCCTTGTTTGTGTTTTATTTTAACCAAATGTTTTGTTTACACTGGTATTTTTACCTAATTTATGTTGCGAATTTTTAATATATATTTAATATATTCTTAATATATGAACTTTCAATTGGGAAATGTGCCTTGATAAAATCTTTTAATAAAACATGTTTATTACAGGTTTTACCATTTATCTAATGCAATGTTTTATTCACGCACTATTTATTTTAAAATCTTTGAGAAAATTGTAAACATATAAAAGTACTTTTTAAATATTGCGTAAACTGTATACGTCTGCACAAAGGAAAAATATATATAGTTATGTCTCAAAATTTTCTGATATAAAAATCTTTCGAAAGCTGCTGACTAAAGGAGAAGTGCTTGGATATCTTCATTATAGAAATTATTTCATGACTTCAATTTCTAAATCTGTTTGACTCCATCACATGATTGCCTTCCCTTTTTTAAATTTTTTTTAATGCTGAAAGGTAACAATTTTGAAGTTAGCAAAAAGAGTACAGTTTTTTTGCGTTACTAAAGCCCTGCTATATAAAAAAAGGCTTCAATTCCAATATTGTGTCATAAATAAATTGTTTATAAAAAAATACTTGTAATTTCTACTTTTGAGAAAAAAATATTGGTAAATATATGTCAGGCGAATAATGCAGCTATACTAAGTTGACATACTACTTAAGCTGAAATCTTTAAACAAAATTCTTTATTTCACACCAGGTATTTAATTAACTCTCTGTTAATATACAAGTTTTAAGTATCATGATTTGAATCAAAATTATAATTTTTTAAGATTTAAGAATTATAATTTGAGCACTTTGTTTTAATGCTTGCAATATTCGATCATTGAAATAAAAAAAATGTTTCATGGATTTGATGAATACAAGCATTATGGGTAGTGACATTCAGTACTACAATATTAATAAAAGCATAACAATGATGTTAAATCGCAAAGAAAAAACTGTAAACAAGTTATATTTTAAGATCAAAAACATTTTTGTACACATACAAATACTATAAAATGTTGGTATTTTAATTTACTTTCTTACAATATCATATGTTAATAACATACTGCCATTGGAAAATTGCAGAGTTAAATTATAAACAAACAGAAATAAAGTAACTAATGGGTATGAAAAGTCATGTCTTTAATTTCGGTTTCAAATCTCAATTAAATTTTTATATGATTTGTGGTCCAGACAACATTCCTGTTATAGCCTTACAAAATTGATCTCCAGAGCTCTCGTCGATTCTCTCCAAACTATTTAATAAGTCTTATTTTCCTTATTTATTAACTGAGTCTTATTTTCCTGCCTGCTGGAAAATGGCATTTGTTGTTCCAATTTTTAAAATCTCCTGTGAACATTCTGACCTCTCCAATTATGATCTGATCAGTCTTCTTTCTGTTATTAGCACGGTGTTTGAGTTTTTAATAAACAAATTCTCACAGCTCATTATCAAATAACTTACTGTTAGACAATCAATATGGATTTCGATCCTCTTGCTCTATGGCTGACTTGCTAACTGCTGTGACTGAAAGATTTTATTGTGCTAAAGATGGAGACTAGGGCTATCACTCTTGACATATCTAAGGCTTTCGACAAAGTTTGGCGTGCTGGTTTTTCTCCATAAGCTTTATTTATATGGTGCATCTGGAAAAGTTTTTGAGATAATCAAACTGTTTCTTTCTAACTGCTTTATTAAAGTCATTTTTAAAAGTCAACACTCTTTATTTTCAGTAACTTCTAAGGTTTTGTTTGTTATCTACATTAATGATCTTCTCAACAACCATACATCTTAAGTAGCTCTTTTTGCTGATGACTCAACTTTATACTCCTGTCTTGACAAAAGACTTCTCTTTTTGATTGCTTAGAACAGGCTGCCGATTTTGAATCTGATCTCACTTCTGTAACAGATTGGGGCTTATAGTGGCTTGTAAATTTGAACTCTAAAAAAACTCAGTTATTTACTGCAAACAACTATCACAACATGCTGTTAACATTCCTATATTAATGAATGGCAACTCTCTGACTGAGTCCTCTTCTTTACGTCTTCTTGGATTATTGTTTACTACTAACCTTTTCATGGAAACCATTTATACTATTGATTGCTATATTAGCATCTGCTAAAGTTGCTTCTCTTTATCCTGCTTGCCCTTTTCTCTTTTCTGATTCCATTCTCTACCTTTACAAATCTCTTACTCGTCTCTGTATGGAATACTATTGTCATATTTGGGTTGGTTCTTCTAATGCTTCTTCTCTTCTAGACAAGGTCCAAGGTTCATTCGGCATTGTAAACGTAGTTGGACCTGTTCTATCTGCTAAGCTTGAGCCTCATTGTCGTAAAGTGCATCTACAAATACTATCATGCTCAAAGGAGCTATCATCTCTAGTGCCATCTAAAACTCGCTCTAGTTCCACCTAAAACTCGCTATCATCTCTAGTTCCAACTAAAACTCGCTTGACTTGTCATTCAGTCAAGTCTCATTCGTATCTGTTGCTGCATGTTCTAAAAAATTTTATTAGTCTAGTTTTTTTTCTGGCACCTCAACCTATTGGAACTCTCTCCCATCTTCATGTTTTGCTCACTCATATAACCTTTAACTTTTTAAGTCTTTTGTCAACTGTTTCCTTGCTCTATAACTCTATTCTTTTTTTCAAGTAATTCCCACTTAATAGTGGTTGCTTACAGCCTGGTTGGGAATGAATCAGAATAAAAAAAAAAAACAAAAAAAAAAACAAACTTCAAGCTAAAATGACATTATGTAGAACAGATATTGAAAATATTTTCCTATCAAGTTTAAAAAAATGTTTAAATTGTGAAATTGTAGACATAAATTTATAGGAAGACTTTAAGTATTTCAATTCTTTGCCAAAAGATTTTAGGTTTATAAGGTTTTACAGTTTTGCAGTTGAGCTTTACAACAAAACACATTTCCCAGAGATACCTTTGCTAGTTGACAGTCATATATTTAGACAAATTTGTCATGGGGTATCATTTTAAAAAGTCTGCTGTCTTTTGTGATTTACAAGATATACATATTTGTAGTTTGAATGTTATATTTACTTTTTATTTTGGTTTTAATAAATAAAAGACATATTTACATAAAGTACGTATGTAGGTATGTAGTTATATTTTTTTGAGACTGGCAGAACCAGTTAATTTTTTTTTTACAAGAATGTAAATAATTTTCTTTATAAACTCATGATATTCTCTATATACCCAGAAATCAAATGATGAATTTCGAAAACACTACAGGAATGGCTAACATATATATATATATATATATATATATATATATATATATATATATATATATATATATATATATATATATATATATATATATATATATATATATATATATATATATATATATATAAACAATTTTAAAATGTATTCTACAAGAGTGCTCAATTTTCTTAAAAGAACAGAGCAATTATAAATTAGTAGAAAATCACTTCACAATTTTTTTTTTCATTTAACACTGTGCTTCATCAATAAATACTCCTCAGTAATGAATGATCAAGTTAAGAAAACTTCAATTTATACCAAAAATTAAATTACAGGAAGTCGCAAATGTCTTAACTACTGTAAATTTTCACACATTGGTGGAATTATATATATATATATATATATATATATATATATATATATATATATATATATATATATATATATATATATATATATATATATATATATATATATATATATATATATATGTATATATGTATGTATATATATATATGTATATATATATGTATATATATATATATATATACATATATATATATATATATATATATATATATATATATATATATATATATATATATACACACACACATATATATATATATATATATATGTGTATGTATATATGTGTGTGTGTGTGTATATATATATATATATATATATATATATATATATATATATATATATATATATATATATATATATATATATATATATATATATATATATATATATATATATATCAATAATAAATATATATATATATATGGGTCTCTTTATATGAGCTGAAATATGATATTTTATTACTTATAATATATATATATATAAATTTTTTTAATTGTATTTTTCAAACCTTGGAATTAGGGTCGGCATTTGGCAATTAAAGCGATTGAGGTCAGCAAAAAATTGTTGACCTTGTTTCTACATTTTATGGCAGAGTTGTTAGTCCTTGGTCTTGGCCTGACCTTAAGGCCAAAAAATGAGGCATTGGCCTTGGCCTTGGTCTTGGCCTTGAAACTGCTGGCCTTAGCTTTGAAAATTTGGCCTTGGCATTGATTATTTTGGCTTTAGCCTTTAAAAAAAATACATATTTTTCTATTGACTTTGTTGAATTCTGCGCATAACCTTGGTCTATTTTTACAAAATGTGGTTTTATTGTCAAAGGATTTGCTGCTTACAGTTTTGTTGATAATTGGTTTTAACGTAAGACAAAAATTGAAGTGTATGGTCTTGAAAAAGTTTGCGTAGGACTTGACCTCGAAACTCCTAATCTTGGACTTGACCTTAAAAAGGCCTTGGCCTTGTAACTTTTAACCTTGATCTTGGCCTTGGCCTTGTAACGTGTGGCCTTGGCCTGGCTTCTTTTTCCTTGTTAACAACTCTGTTTTATGGTAAAACCTTTGTATTGGATTTTTTTTGCTGAGCTCTAAAAGATTGAGATTAGCAAATCCTCATTTTTCCGAATTCCATGGTTTGATTTTTTAATTGTATTTTTAATTGTACTATTTTGTAGGAGAAATCAGTATCTCGAAAACGAAGAAAAATACTTAATGAAATTTATCAGACAGAAAGAACTTATTTTCATCATTTGACATTGTTGACCACAGTATGAAGTTTTGCTATTACAATTAATTTATATATATATATATATATATATATATATATATATATATATATATATATATATATATATATATATATATATATATATATATATATATATATATATATATATGTATATATATATATATATATATATATATATATACAATTACAAATATTTAAAAAATAATTATTAAGTTGAGCTTTATATATAAGAAGTAAATTCTTAATAGAAAGTTTTAACATTGAAAATAACTTTTATTTTTACAATGTTCATTTTAATGGCATTTGTAAGCATCCAGATCAAATTTTTTTATTAAACCTATGTTCTGCATGCATGGATATGTATATTTGATTTAAATATTTTTTAATGTATTTTGTTTTTCCATCACATCCTTTAGATGAAAGAAAATAAATATTCTAATACTTGAAATTAAGGTTTTACTGTTCCTAACCTAATGAAGTGGTATCAACCTAATGAGTGACAAATTGGACATGGTACATAACTTAAAACATTCCAATGTAAATTTTAAAATCTTGCATTTACTGTTAAGCTGGTTCTCTAATAAAACTATTTATTAAAGTAATAAATAGTTTTATTAGAGAACCAGCTTAACAATAGTACTGTTAATTTTTTTTTTTTTTTTTTTGTTATTTAATTTTAAATTTCAAAAAAAAATTTTTTTCACAAAACTTTAGATTAATTATAAAAATTTAAATAAAATTTATAGTTAACTGACATAAAGTTTTAAAAATAAATCCCCATATAAATTTTTCTTTAAATATTATAAAAACATATTTAATCTTGTTTTTTTATTTTTTTATTTCTTATTTTTGTTTTTCTTTTTAAATATTTTTTTATCCTTATTAGCTTTTCCTTGATCCTATCAAAGTCTCTATGGTATTATCATCAAAAGTTATTGATGGTATTTTTTCAAATATCGAAGCTATTCATTCTGTCAGTGCTAATTTACTTGAACAAATGGATGAGAATGGTGTTCTTTGTGCTCTGCTGAAACTTGCACCCTACATGAAACTTTACTCTTTATATGCAAATAATTTTGAAAATGCAGAAAGATTGCTGACTGTATGTTTCATTTAAATTATTAATGCACAAAACATAAAGTTGATATTTAATTAAATTCAGTGATATTTAAGTAAAAAGGTGACATAATATATAATAAATATTTAGTATTTTTTTTCTAGTATTTTTTCGAAAAAGTTATTTAATTCTTTTTTAGGAATGGCAAAATAAAAGTCCAGATTTTGCAAGACTTTTACAATTTCAAGAAAATTTAGAAGAGATGCAAAATCTGAGAATGCGTGCTTTATTAATCACTCCTGTTCAAAGAGTACCTAGGTAGTTTTAATTTACAAAGTTTTTTTTGAATTTATAATAGGGGTGCAGTTAGATGGTTGGGTAGACCATTTATCCAATGCATCAGCATCAGCTTTGATCTTGGTAACCATTGGACAATGCTGATTGTTTTAAAAAAACAATTTTTTTTAGTTTTGTATTTTTATAATGTATGCAAAAATATAATTGTTCCATAAACAAAAATGCATAAAACAGCTTAAGTTATTATGTAGACATATCAGCAACCACTCCCAGTAGCACATGATGTAAAAAAGATTTCTTTTCAATGTTTTTTGAACATTTCAGATATCTTTGAACATTCAAAAGATGTCTTTAATAGGTTCTGTGCTCACTAGGACTTGATCTTTAAATACTTTTTGAACCGTTTTTTATCTGAAGCAACCTGCATTTTTTATTAGGAGCAACCTGCATTTTTCATCAGGAGCATCCTGCATTTTGTGTCTATATGTTTATTATATAAGAAAGCAATTAAATGACTTATGGATCTAAACTATACAAGAAAATAACTTTAAAATCAAGCAATGTAAATGCAATGTAAAATGTAAAAAAAAATTTTTTGCCAGATGTTTTTCTTCTTGATGTTTTTATTTTGCAAAATTTACAAATTGCTTCGAACGTTCATTTTTATCTACATTAAATAGTCTATTAGCCTATTTTGATTCTTATTCGACTATTTTAGCAAATAAGCATTAAAATTGAACATTAACATTTAAAAAAAAACAACCTAATTTACCTATTAGTAAAAAAAAGTGTACAAAATTGAATTTATGGCAGATGTATTTGGGTCCGCCTGTACCAATCAACAATGTTGATTGGTACAGGCCGAAACAAATACATCTGCCATAAATTCAACTTTGTAAATAAATCCAATTTTAGATTGATGCCAACAATGTTACATTGTTGGCATCAACCTAAAATTGGCATCGGTGTGCCCTTAATTTATAATGTACTTGTAATAAAATGGTGTAGTTGTCAAAGCTTAAAGGAATTTGTACTTTCTTTTTTTTTCATTTACTTCTCAGTTTTTCTATAAAGTTTAGATAAAGTCCCAAAATTTAACATAAATATAAAAAGATAGATATTAAAGAGCAGCCGTGGCGCAGTGGTTAGAGTTCTGGCTCAGAACTCAGAGGTCCGAGGTTCGATGCCAGCTCTAGCCCAACAAGCGACATTGGTACGGAAGGAGGCGTAAACTTCCCGTTAAATGCTCACCCGCGGTGCTCTATGATAAGACCGTAAGGACTTCTGGGAGCACCTAAATACATACAAAAAAAAAAAAAAAAAAAAAATTATTAACTATTGAAAAGTTTTTTCATTACTCTGTTGATTTTTATATTTTTTTATAATTCAAACAATTCCTATTATTATCATTCTAATATTAATTCCTATTATTATCATTCTAATATTAATTCCTATTATTATCATTCTAATATTAATATTAATAATAATATTAGGGATAGTTGTATCATTTTAATGTTAATAACAATTTTAATATATTAGTGTTAATTGTTGTTTTTTAAAAAACCTGAAGATTTATTTTTTTAATAACTTTTGAGAAAGAAATTTAAACTTTTTTTCTAACTTATAATTTAGATATCGCTTACTATTATGTAGTCTTCTTGAACATACACCAACTTATGATCCTGATTATTTAAAACTAAAAGGTAAATTTTTTTTTTTTTTTTTCAAAATTGACTATGAAACAGTTCAAAGGTTTTTTGTGTTATTTTGATTACCAAAAACATTCTGTGAAACAGTTCCTTTACTGTTATCTTACATTATTTTGTTTAAGCTTCACATTTTTTTTTTAGATATTGTAACCCATTATTTTAGAATTTGCTGATTCCATTCAAATTTCATTATATAGATTATTAAAAAATATTTCATTAAATATATCTTCAGAATTTCGATGTAGCTGAAAATATCAATCAGAAGATATCAAACTTATTCTTCCCCTACCTCATATTATACCTTCTTCTTCTATTCATTATATTTATTCAATAAATATCATGAATTAATGTATGTTTTCTTCTTCCTGATTCTTCTACCTCATTTTTACTGTTTCTAATAATAGTGAGAAAAATAAACCTATTTTTTAATTATTTTAGAGCATAATAATAATAATAATAATAATAATAATAATAATAATAATAATAATAATAATAACAATAATAACAATTATAACAATAATAATAGTAATAATAATAACTTTTATCATAAACTATGTAAAAAAAAAGTAAATTTATGCAATTTATGTAATTTATTGCATAAATTATTTAATTTATCAATTAAATCTTTATCTTTAAATACTTAACTTTAAATAATTTAATTTTTTGAGAAACAAATTTTTTTTTTGCTTATCTTTTTAAATATATTTTATTAAATATTGTATAAAAAGTATAAAATAATGGTTACATCAAATGATACACATTGAAAGCTGATCTTATCATTTAGGTTTTAAAGACATCATTTTCATTCACAATGATTTAGTAAATCTTTGATAAATGCTTATTACAAGCTGTTTATACTTGCCCAACATCCTTTTGAGTCATGCCAGCTATTAAATATAGTGCCATTTCATTGTTTTTTGATTGGTACACATTGCTTAGAGACGAATGGACTTGTTAGAAAAAAAGATATCACCATATATTTTAATAAAATAAGGTTGTGAATTTGTTGTGTAGTGATTGGTTTCTTTAATTTCCTCGCTTTAAAATAAATTTTTTTGTATAAAATAATAAGTTTTGATATGTTGATTTTGATTGGTTGGTTTTTAATATCTTTACTTCCAATCTTTACTTCCAATATTCTAAATTATTTAAAAAATAATTTTCAAGACTATTTTGTCTAATTCTTAGAATAGTGTGAAAATTAGCTAAATCTAAGACTTTATTAAAATTAGCTAAATCTAAGACTTTACTTCCAATCTTTACTTCCAATATTCTAAATTATTCATTTTAAAAATAGTTTCAAGGACTATTTTGTTTAATTCTTAAAATAGTGTGAAAAGCTAAATCTAAGACTTTCTGTTATATTTCCGAGGTGTTCACACAGAATTATTTTTCTTCAAGTTTAAAGATTTTTGATTGTTAGTCTGATTATTTTAAAAAATCGAGCAGAATGTTGGTTAATGAAATTTACTAGTTATTAAAGTAACATATGAACTCTTAAAAAACAACAAAATTTATTTCTTCCATGATAACTTCTGTCCTTACATTGCAAAGTTGATGCATCAAAAATTATTGAGCTTGGCAGGAAAGTGAAATTTACTCTACACATCTGAGTTAACTATTGTTTCAATCACATAAATAACAGCTTTTACAATAAAAAATTTGGTGACATAAAGGCACTTCAAACAGTAACTCCATCATTTTTATAATTCAATGCCTAAAGAGTTCCACACCAACAGCATTGATTCTTTTGCCTTAGCTTTATCAAGATAAAGCGAAGGCAAAAGAATCAATTCTGTTGGTGTGAAAAAGAATCAATTCATAGAAAATGATTTATTATTGCATATATTATTAAAAATTAGTTATTGAATTAAAATCAAATAAATATTTTTGAAAAAAATTTACTTTATAACCAAACCAATATATATTAATATAATTGTAAAAATATTAAATGTAAAAAGTTAAAATTTATTTTAAGAAGCCTATGATGAAATAAGTAAAGTTGCTACTCATATCAATGAATGTATTCGTCAGCATGAAAACTTTCAAAAAATGTTGGCAATACAGAAGAGCTTCAGTGGAGATAATGCTCCAAAAGTATTGGCACCAGGTAAAAATATGGTTTGTAATAAGCTTTAATTTATTAAATTGTTAGGCTTTGTAATCCAATTTAATATTTTAATTACAAAATGATAAATAAAAAACAAAAAATTTAAAAAAAAAACCTGCTTTAGTAATACTTTTATCAAATGGGTTTTATTTCTTAGGAAGATTCTTTCTTAAGGAGGGGCCAGTTATCAAGGTAATTTTTTATAAACGTTTTTTTTTTTTTTTTTTTTTAAAAAAAATTTTAATTTTTTAAAAAGTTCTTAAGAAGAACACAAAACTTTTGTAACCAAATAATAATTCTACAAATACACTAGCAAACATAATATATTTATTTGTATACTGGATATGGTTTTGTTTTTATATTGGTGTTTATTTTTATTGTTTTAACATTTTTTGGCATTTGATAACTTTTTCAAAGTTCTACTGTTTTATTCTGTAGATGTAAGTTCTGTATTAAAAATGATCAGACTAATGTTTAAGTAGACTAAATAATTTGCTGCTTTTTGTTTTCTAAAGCGAAGAATTAAAGAATTTCTCTGTAAAATAAAAAAAAAATTTAAGCAGTAATCTGTTCTTTATATCAATAATTGTTATTAACTTCAATTGGATCAGCTTTGCATAAGCATATTTGCAGTAGTTTGAAGTTAGAGCAACTGATTACTACAGATCTGGATAATAGATCGTAGGATAATTTTCTGTTTATTAATATTCTTTTGTGTTTAAGTTTTTTTTAGCAGTTTGTTGAGTTTGTTCATAATTCATGGTTTGAATAATTTTAAAGACCTTTTTGATACTTTAAATGTTTCTCTTTGGCTGCTACGAAGAGAGGCAAAATAAGTTTTTTGTAAAAAGCACCAGATGTGCTTTGCTACACTAGTTGAAGACCAAGGTAAACCCCGGTGATCTCTGTAACAAGTCACTTAAAGGTTGGCTTTGAGGTAAAAATATTTATTAGCAAACTTTGAGCTGAAAGTGTAACTTACCTGTAACTTAGGTTGTAGGTTGTTAGGCTGTAACTTACTCAGGGTGTATATCAAGTATCAATAGTTTATGTTAAACAAGTATGAAAAGAAATATTGATGGTTAAAAGCACAAAGGGAATATGTCCAACATTTTATGGTTTTGAGTTATTGCTAGTTATTATTATTAAAGTATGTAAATAAAATGAAAATAAAATAGTAAAAAACAAGATAGAATTAATTGAGAAATGCATTTGGTTAAAAACATGACAATAAATATTATGAATTATTGTATGTTTTCAAACTTTCAAATTTAGATTTCTCAAAACAATGGTTAGTGGACATATTTCCTTTGTGCTCTTAACCATCGATATGGCTGTTCGGGTTTTGTTTACCTAATCTGTCTAAATTAGCATTAAATATCTAAATTGAATTAGTTCAAACTAAATTCTATAAATTATAGATAGCATTTTTTTATACATTTGGATCAAGATATTTTTAAAAACCAGGAAATTGTTGTTCTTTGTGTGCATTCCTTAGAAATAAACAGTGTGCACTCTTTAGAAATGAACAGTGTGCAATCCTTAGAAAAGAACAGTGTGCACTTCTTATAAATGAACAGTTTGCACTCCTTAGGAATGAACAAAGTGCATTCTTTAGAAATGAATAATGTGCACTCCTTAGAAATGAACAGTGTGCACTCCTTAGAAATGAACAGTGCGCACTCCTTAGAAATAAACAGTGTGCACTCCTTAGAAATGAACAGTATGCACTCTATAGAAATGAGCAGTGTGCACTCCTTAGAAATGTACAGTGTGCACTCCTTAGAAATGAACAGTGTGCACTCCTTAGAAATAAACAGTGTGCACTCCTTAGAAATGAACAGTGTGCACTCCTTAGAAATAAACAGTGTGCACTCCTTAGAAATGAACAGTGTGCACTCCTTAGAAATGACCAGTGTGCACTCCTTAGAAATAAACAGTGTGCACTCCTTAGAAATGAACAGTGTGCACTCCTTAGAAATAAACAGTGTGCACTCCTTAGAAATGAACAGTGTGCACTCCTTAGAAATGACCAGTGTGCACTCCTTAGAAATAAACAGTGTGCACTCCTTAGAAATGAACAGTGTGCACTCCTTAGAAATGACCAGTGTGCTTAAGAATGCTTCCTCTTACTGAGAGCAAGCTTCTATTGTATTTTCACAAGTACCCAAACCAAAATGATATGAAAGTTACAACTCGCAGGAAATTCATTTATGTCAGAATCCTAACTAAGATCAATTATTAGTTTATTTTACTTTAGTTTTTTACATTTTTATATATAATATAATATATAACAATATGTAATTTATAACATTATTATCTTATCTTATATATATATATATATATATATATATATATATATATATATATATATATATATATATATATATATATATATATATATATATATAAATATATATATAGCTTAAAGTTATTATAGTTATATGCTAATGTTTGACTCTCATTCTGTGAATATATTCAATTTGTTCTATTCGTGAATATATATTTTTTGAAAATTAAATTTTATTAAGAAATAGTCTCTTAATAAAATTTAATTTTCAAAAGTTTAATTTCAGATAACAGATCGTGGTAACTCTAAAGAACGCACTCTTTTTTTGTTCAGCGACATACTAATAGTAGCTAGAAAAGAATCATCAAGGTACCATAATTAGTATTAAATTAATTTTTAATTATTTTTTTTTGTGTAGATTTTGTATTGTTACTCACTTTTATTTTAAATTTTGGTTTCACCATTGCAAAATTATTTATAATACTTTTATCTATTAAATTTATAAAGTATAAAACAATTGTATGCATAAATACACATTAATAATACATCTGCTAAATAAAAATGTAGTATCTGAATGTCTTATATGTTAATTTAACAAGAAATTTTTATTCACTAAAGGTCTCTATGATTACGTCATATTAGAGTTCACCATAGAAGTTTTAGTTTGTAAGGGTTTATTTTGTAGTTTTTAAGGGTTCATTTTGTAGTTTTTAAGGGTTTTGTTCATGTCTTTTTGTTTATAATAAGTTTACAATAATGTGTGTACTAATACTATGAAAAAACATTACCCAAAAACATTTTTACAATGTTTACAAAATTTTGAGTGAATTTGATGAATGACAATTAGCCAAAAATCTGATTATCGTATTATCTTTGAATCACAAAACTAAAAACCATAGATTGAAAATTATAGCCAGTTATTTTTGTTGGCATAACTTTTTAATATTTTGTTCTACATAAATATTCATTCTAAAATATCTTTCTTAGACGTTACTTTACACAAAATCAATTTCTTAGTCAGTATTTTTACAAGACCTATTTAGGGATTGCAATCCCGGGATCCCGGACGTTTTTGGGTCCCGAAAATCCCGGGATTCTAAACACAAAATCCCGGGATTTTCGGGATTATAGCAGAATTGAACTAATTAAATTATTTTGTAAAACAAAATGTTCAAAGTTGGTAACTATACTGAATTATAACGAGTTATATAATGCTGCTTTGCAGGTTTATCCTGTTTATGCTTTATCCTTACGACAAATGGAACAAATTTTTGAATAGACCATGGAGTTCGGGATTTTATCATTGAAAAAAAATTCACAAACACAAATTAAGGCAGGTTTGTTTGACTATTGTATAAAAAACAATCGTTAAGTTTGTTGGCAAGACTTCTCGCGTTAAAAAGATAAATTTTAAAATTGTTGAGCGAATTTGTGGTTAAGTGATTGCTTGAGTTTATTAAGTCGTTTTGTTCATTTCAAAAAATATTTTTAGAGAATGAAAAAAATAAAAATAAACAAGTAATAAAAAAAAATTATATCTAAAAAAATTTAATGATTACTACATAACAATTCCCTTTGGGATATTTCTAGCGATTTGTATAATTATATTTGTACAATTATTAGTTATTGCAACATTATAATGCCCTTGACAATTAATTCTGCTTGAAGGAATTCTAGTGTGAATACATACAAAATTTGACTGTGGAATGAATCATTTTGAACGTTTTGAACTGATAACCTTTTTAATGCTTTTGTTGTTTACCGCAATAATATGTTGTTTACTAATGCACCTTAAAAAAATATCCTTCTAAACATGAATGAAAACAGTGAAATGGGAACATCATTTTTTCTACACAAAAAAGATAAAGACCCAACTTCAGTGTGGTCACATTATTTGAAGTCTGCGGATAATTTGGCAGCAAAATGTAAGAAATGTGGTGTAATTTTGAAAACATTGGGTAGTTCTACAAAAGGCCTTCATACGCACTTATCAACTAAGCATAATTTGAAAGTAACTTCAGCCGACAAAAATTTACCTAGTTCGAGTCAACAGTTGAATGATGCCAGAACCAACAAGAAGCCTCCTACGAAACGAAGAATAACAAGTTACTTTGCATCCGAAAAAAAACAAAACCTTAGACGAAACACTGGCTCGAATGACAGCTTTAGATGGGCTAACATTTAATGTATTTATAACATCAAAAGATTTAAGGCAATTACTGATTACCAGTGGTTTCGAAAATTTGCCCAAGTCAGCAAACTCAATTAAAAGGATAGTGGTGAGTTACAGCTTAAATATTAGACAGTTAATTTCCAAAGAAATTTATCAATATAAAGCTTTGGGAACACGATTTTCTCTGAGCTTTGATGAATGGACCTCTACAACAAATAAAAGATACATGAATATTAATGTACATATCCCAAATAAGCACTGGAATTCGGGTCTTATTCGTGTATATGGTTCCTTAAATGCTGATAAATGTAGTGATGTTTTAAAAACACGTCTAAAGGAGCATAATGTTAATATTGATACAGACATTGTTGCTATTGTTACGGATGGTCCAAATGTAATGGTTCGTGTGGGAAAAATTATTGAGGCTGAACACCAGTTGTGTTTAGTCCATGGAATTCACCTTGCAGTTTGTGATGTTCTTTATAAAAAAAGTTCTACGCCAATGTCCGACACCGAAGCACCATTGAAGGAAACTCAAGATATTGTTGATGAAACAGATGATCACAAAGATGAAGAAAATATCGACGAGGAAATGGGATTAGGCTTTCTTTCCCCAACAAATGATGGGATAGCAAATATGGATTTACTTACCAATGAACAAAATATCAATGAACTAGTGAAAAAAGCCTGTAAGGTAGTTGTTCTTTTTAAACGATCCCCGACAAAAAATGATGCAGTCTTGCAAAAATATGTCAAAGAAGAGAAAGGCAGCGAGCTTTTGCTCATTTTGGATTGCAAAACAAGATGGAACTCTCTTCTATCGATGCTAGAGCGTTTCCTTGCTTTAAAAACATGTATACAGAAAGCTTTAATTGACTTAAACCGCCCAGTTTCCTTAAACGAAAGTGATTTTGTGGTTCTTTCAGAATTAATAGAAGTACTTGCACCTGTCAAATTAGCAGTAGATGCGTTATGCAGACAAGATGCTAATCACTGCAGATGCAGTACTTATATTTTTATTCCAGCAGATTGCTCAAAAACAATCTCCCTTTGCTAATAAAATGTTCTAAGCTATAAGCATCTAAGTTCTAAGCATCTTGTCTGCATAACAAAACAAGAATGGAAAAAAGACGATGTGAAGAAATTTCTGGTGTTTTAAAATACCTTCAAAATCCAAAATATGATGCTGTGAATGATGAAACAAATGTCTGCAAAACTTTTGGAGTTCCTCTTAAAACCCTTATTAGGAAGCAGATAAAAAAACTTATTGAGAGACTAGCTGCTTTTAAAAATGATAATTTAGAAAAATCAAGTATTGATGTTGATGAAAATATAATGGCTGTCGTTAGAAATGAAGAATCACAAGTTCGAGCCTCCCTGTCTTTAAGAGAAAAGTTACAAGAACAAATTGCACAAAGCTTGAAAGCCATTGAACCAGAAACACAAACTTCAAATTTAATGTCAATCATAAAGAAAGAAATGCATCTGTTTGAAAATGGTGGAAACCGGGGGCATAATTTGGAATTAGTATACCAATATTTGTTATCTACTCCACCGACGAGCATCGAACCTGAGCGGGCATTTTCTGCAGCTGGGTATTTGGGAAGTAAAATAAGGAGTAGGCTAAATGACCAAACCTTAAATGCTCTACTATTGCTCCGGGCATATTTTCAGACAAAAAAAGAAAGTTTGTAAATAAAATATGCATTTAATATGAATTGTTTTTTTGTTTTACATTTATTATTTAGCTACCATTTATTTATAAATATAAAATAAAGATTTTCTTTAATTTTTGTCTCTCAATATTAACAAACAACTTATTATGTTATTTTTTACAAAGTAGCTTGTTGCTACAGCAGCTACATCGGTACCCAAATTTAAGAAAATTTATGTTAACAAATTTATTTTGAAATTTTCATTGTTTAGTTACTTTAGTCAAATACACTTTAAATGTTCAAATGTTATTTACATATCCAATTATTTGATGAAGGTTATTCTGTAAAGTCTTTAATCTTAAAACATAATATGGAAGGTACCGTATATATATTTCTGCATTATTTTAAGATCTTTATATACACCTGCTGCCTGTTACACAATTATTACAATTTTTCTAACAAGTATATCCATGTCATTTGCTTTACCTTTAACTTCCTTAGATAATTTATTGAAGGAATCTTGGCTTAACTGTTCAGGATCTATATTTCAAGTCCTTGCAATACAATAGGATCTATATTTCAAGTCACAATCTATATTTTCAAAGTACCTAACTTTACTGTTTTTTGAACATGTAACAATTTATTTTTGCCAAGAGCAAATTTTGAGTGACTATTTACAGCATGCATTTTGAGAGGACTTATGTTCATAGTTGTCAAAGAAGAATTAAGAGTTTTTTTTAACAACTCATTTATATTAAGTTCATTATCTTCATCTTCATAAATCTGGCTTCAAGTCGGTTTTCTTTGCCCATCATCCTTAAATGATATCAATTTAATCATACATGAGGGACATATCTTTTCAACAAATAAAATAATATTAAATACCAATATTTTTTAATTTTCCAGCAAGTTGCATATTAATTTCTTTACATCCTCCTAAAAACATGAGTGATAATTACTACTTCAGTGAGTATTTTGCAAAAATATATATAATTTATAAATAATTACAATAAAGTTTTAAAAAAGTTTCATGGTTAAGTAATAATACCTTTTCTTCTTTTTCCATTGTGTGAATTAAATGGATCACAGTAAGTTATGTGGATTGTGGAGTAACATTTTAAATAAACATACCCATGGTGTAGGCATTTATATATATATTTATATATATATATATATATATATATATATATATATATATATATATATATATATATATATATATATATATATATATATATATATATATATATATATATATATATATATATTGCTATAAATATATACAGCAACATTTGTTAAAAAAAACATGATAGCAAAGGGTGGATTGGAACCTCTGGAAACAACAGTATACTTGAGTATACTAAACTATTGAACTATCAAATATATCTTAATAAATAATCAGTATAACAGCTTTATTGCAATAAGCTTTATTGATTATTTATTAAAAAATTATTGTTAAAAATATTTAGTTAAAGAAAATTTAACTTTTAAGTTAAAATTGTTTAACTTAAAAGTAAAATTTTGTTTTCCTTTTATTAACAAAGCACTGATTTAAAAAGTTATCATTACATCAATTGCTTTAATGTAAAAAATGAAAAGTTGGAAGTCGTTGCAGCTGATAAAGGAATGTTTACTAATTTAACCGAGTGTGTGTTGTTTATATAGTGCTAATGCACTATAATTTTATTTAATGTTCGATTAAATGATCGGCTCAATCAGAAAGCGTGTAATCCTCTCCCTTCTGCCAGCATTTCTTCTGATAGCGACAACACTGTAAATTTGTCATTGAAAGAAATGCTTGACTTTGCAATATTGAAAAATAAGAAATGTAACAACAAGGAAAAAAATTGAATGTTTCGAATAATTTATAAAAAATTATATGTAATGAGAATGAAGTTTTCGAAGGAGGAAATCGTGGCATATATTTACAAAATTGCTACAAATATTTGAAAACTGTAAAGCCAGTTGAAAAGTGTTGAGCCAGAGCGTGGATTTTCAGCAAGTGGCAAAATTATAATCATCTCTAGAGGATGATACTCTGAACGCCGTTTTCTTATGGGCTTTTTTTACAAAGGAGAAAAAAGCGAAAAATTAATAAGTCAGTTATTTTGATATAAAATGAATAAGCTTAATAAATCAATAAAATTTTTACTATTAAGTTGAAATTTTATTCATATTATAAATGATTAAATAAATTTAAAAAAAAAAGAGTTTAATACCGGTATTGAAATTATTCAGTACCAAAATACCAGTATTGAAAAATGGTATCAATATTGGAAGCACTAAATAAACCATTTTTTCTGGTCAGCTAGTTTAAATTTATTGTGAATAACACTTTATTTTGAAAAAAAGTTCCAAAACACTGGGATTATGGGAATTTCAAAACAGGGGTTATGGTACTAAGAAATAATCTGGTCTTTTGATATTTAGTGCACTACTTAAAATTAAATGCAACATATTATAAAGAAATATATGTTTTAACATCTATTAGATCAATAGAATATACAGTTTCTTATTTGCAAATGTTTCAGTTTTTAAAATATTATACAATTTAGTTTAAATTATTTAAATTGCAAATCAACTGTAAATAACTTTTGTAAATTCTGGAAACATAAACCACCAATGATCACTTGTTTTGTTACCTCTAGTTGCTGCAAGCATGACTTCCAGCAACCTGAATCACTTATTTTAATCTAAAAATACTTAACATTGTTCAAAACTGTACTTGGGTATTTATGTTTAGTTTATATCAATGCCGAGATATTTATCCACTTGTGGATTGTTTGATTGAACAAGTAATGGGAAACTCGCAAGCTGGAGGAAACTTATTCAAGGTTATTTATTATTATTATTACTATTATTATTACTATTGTTGTTGTTATTATTTTTGTCATTATTGTAGTTTCATTTTTCTTTTTCATTTTTGTTCTTCCTTTTATTAGAGATAAAATTTTATGATTGTGTAAAATAAAAGTATATAATTATTAAAAGTTCATTATTTTAAAAGGAACTTTGTAAAATATATATATATATATATATATATATATATATATATATATATATATATATATATATATATATATATATATATATATATATATATACACACACATATACATATATTTATATTTTTCTAATATAAATTTATTGTTTAATTGAGTTATCTTTTTAGTCAAATTTAAAATAGAATTGAACTATATGTCTTTATTTGACATTAACATGTCAAAGTATCAATTAGAGGGAAGAAATTAGGCTAGTGTGTAGAACGAAGTGACCATATTAAGTGATCAACTAGGTAGATTAATATGTAATCATTGCAAAGAGAGCATAATTAAAAAAGTAGTGAGAGCTAAGATCCATTTTGATAAATTTAGAAGTAAGAAAAAAGAAAACGCTAAGAACTCTGCAGAAGTATTTAGCGATACATCAGTTTTAGAGTCAAGACCATCTACACCTGCAGCATCAAACAAGTCTAACCAGTCAGAAGATAATGATCAAGATTACTTTTTTTATTTAGTAGATTTATTAAATGAAATAAAATCTCATTTATGATTCACTAAACTTCTTGTTTTTATAACAATTTTTGCGCAGCATCAAATCTTGAGTATTAGTGGAAATTAATTTATGAATAAAAATATTATAAATACACAAACCCATTAATTTGGGTTACCAAAAACCAAAAATGTATGTATGTATGTATGCATTTTAATTATATGATGCAACAATTATAATATAAATAGACAAATGGTTTTTAGATCATTTGCAAAGAAAATTCAGTTTTGTTTTGTTCACAACAAGAAAAGCAGGCATGGGTCAGTGAAATTAAAAATGCAATAAAGTAGGTTGTTTTGTGTTATACTTTATCACAATCTCTAATGATAAACTCATTAAAAATAAAATGAATATTTTTAGTGAACTTCACAGAAATTTATCATCCCTTCAACGAGATCCTATGCTTTCAATTAAATACCTTCAAAAAGAAAAAAGAAAACCACTTACTCCTTTAAAAGTAACAAATTTTTATTAAAGTTTTATAAAATAATTTTTTTAATTTAATATTTTTCATATTGTTTATGTTTTCATATATTTTATTTAATATTTTTCATACTGCATTTAGCATATTTCATATTGCACATACTGCACCATTCCGTATTATTTTTCATATTGCACATACTGCACCATTCACCAATATTTCACATATAACATCAATTAACAATATTTCACTTATTGTACCATTCTATAATATTTCACATATAACATCAGTTAACAACATTTTACTTATTGCACCATTCTATAATATTTCACACATAACATCAATTAACAATATTTCACTTATTGCACCATTCACCAATATTGGTCATAACTTATTACTTGCACTTTTTTACTATTTTTTCAACATCAATATTTTTTTTTGAAAAAAAAAATTGATATCAGTTAAGTTTTATTTAATTAAAATTTGTTTAAAGTTAAAATAAAGAATTTTTTTTCAATTTTTTTTTTTTCTGTTGTAGATCTCGAAAAATTCTTCATCAAATCAAATTTCTTCTCGCCAAAAAAAACATAATCAACAAAACAGCTTCTCAACTAATGATGCTAAGGGATTATCATTTTTGCATAATCATCTTCATAACTCATCTATGGACATCGAAAACCATAATTTACAATCATTTAATGACAGTTTATTCTATCGCTTGCATTCGAATAGCGAGGATAGAACTGAATTAGCAGCTAACTCTAATTTATTCACAGAAGACGAAGTAAGTTTTTGTCTAACCATAAAATAAACACATACAGTCACATGCGTGACTCCCATCTAATTACTTGGGTGATTCTCATCTAATCATATGGGTGAATCTTATGCATTTACTTAGGTAGTTCCAGTGTAATTATGCAGATGATTCCCATGTAGTTACCTGAATCATTTCCATGTAGTTACTTGGGTAATTCATGCTTCTAATGATAAAAAGGAATTTATATACTTAAACTAAAGATTAAAAAAATAATGAAATAATTTTTTTTTTGTAGTTTTCTGTTAAAATACACAGAAATAAAAAAACATTCAAAAATTTTAATGTTTTTCTAATTTTTAAATTTTTCAATAAACAACCTATTCTGATGGTTACACTTTTTTTTGCTTTATTTGTGTTATTGATTTTATTAGTTAATACAAAAATTAAAAAAGGAAAGTATAAGATAAATAGAAGGATGACTATTATATAAACACCCTTCTTATGAAAGGTGATTATGATAAAGACACCCTTAACAAGAAGGGTGACTAATGAAATAAATGACAATAAGAAGATAAATATTTATGATGGTGTTTGTAGAACACTTTTTTTATAAAAAAGTTATAAGTTATGCCTATTAATTGTATCTGCATTCAGTTTTTTTGTACTTTAATGTAGAATTGTTAACAAGACCAAAAGTAGCAAGGTGAAGACTGCATGTTCCAAGGCCAAGTCAAGAGTTTCAATGCCAAGGCTAAATTTTGAATTTTGACCTTAAGTCAAGCCAATTATTAACAAAACTGCAAGCAGCTGCAACATGTGATTTTATTGATGCGATACTGCAATAATAAAACCACATGTTGTAAATTTAGACCAAGGTTATGTGCAGTAATAAGTCAATAAGAAAATTTATATATATATATATATATATATATATATATATATATATATATATATATATATATATATTCAAATTTTTGTGATTCAATAAACTTTTAAATAATCTTAAGTTTATTCATGATAATGAGACAGAATTTTTGTTTATTCATGATAATGAGACAGAATTTTTACTTAAAGGAAAATTATGAAATAATAGTATTTATAAAACACGCTAGAATGTTCTGAATTCAATTAAAAAAGGTGGAAGGCTAAAACTTTCATGACCTAGTAAGGCCAAGGTTTTAATTTTAATAAATAAATTTGAATTAATAGATTGTCTACTCTCTTAAACTAAAATCCTCAGTTGATGTAGCAGCACTCCTTGCATATTCTATTTATTTGACAGTCGATTTATTTAAACAATGAAAAAAATAAAATTCAGTCTATTAAACATTTTTGAATTTTTTTAAAAGACAGCCGTTTTTTAGAAAAAACTTTAAAGTTAAACGTCAAAATATAGTAATATATATACATATATGCAACTATAAATGCATTTCAAGATAAGTTCGGTGGCATCACACTAAAGTAATCTGCTCCCGCCTGCTGCCACAAACAACTGCAGCTATATTGACTAAAGGTTTGGCATGGGGAAGCAATCTTTTTTTTCATCATTCCTTGTTTTTTTCAAATAATATGTGCATCTATAATTGAGATGTTTCATGGAGTTTTAAGTATTATGGTGCCCCACTTTACCCTGTATAAAGATGTATAACAAAAATTGACAAATAGGTAAGCGGGCATCTACCTCTGCCTCCCATCTATATAGCTGAGCTACTATCTGGCTTGACTTTTTTTTATTGTTTTTTTAATTGAACCTTAAAAAGAACCAATAAGTTTCTATGTGAAATTTTAACTAGTTAGTCATTTTAGTTTGTTATATGCAAAATAATAAAAGAATATCTTAAAATGTTAACTTTAGGTTTTTATAAGTACTCGATTAAGCTCCGTAACATCAGCAAATACACGGCTAAATTCTTTGTCATCAAAGTCAGCTGACTCTCGTAAATCATCTATTGGTAAGATTAACTGGTCAGTAACTGAACCTAAACCAATTGAATGTCGGCCATCAATTCACTCAGACGATCAACATGGGAAAATAGGTTGCTCATCTGTGAAACGTATGCTTAGACAGAGTCAAAATAAAAATATATATAGTAAAAAGGTTTGTATTAAAAAATAATATTAATGTTTTTTTTTACTTATTTTAAATAATGGTAAATTAAAAATTAAAGTCTTGCATTGTAATAATAACTCTTATACTATGACGTAATTAATAAAGGATTGTTTATACTTTTTTATGTTGTATTATACTAATTTTTAGGTGCTAAATGAACATAAGGATGCAAGTTTACCCAATGCTAAAAATGAAATTAGGTATTTTTTACTAACTCCAATAACTGTTCAATTTTTATTTATATATTTCTAAATTATATTTAGTGGATCACTTCCTTGAATGAGACGATAATTTCTTTCTATGAAACCTCTAGCTCTGTAACATTTATCTAGAAGGTATTGTTCATATTTTTGGATTCCATACTTTCGTATGCCGGCAAATCTAACAATGCTCCATGAAAAGTACATTGTACCTCGCTCTATACGAGTTGGTCTCATATCTAGTAAATCATCAAATATATCTATTTTAAATATTTTTTTTATTTGACCATATGGAATATCATTAAATCTTTTAAAATAATGACCAGTTATGCGCCTTTTGATGCGATGTTTACCAAATGTCATTATAGGCGGATGTTGACTTAATGCTGCCCACACCATTAGCCACGTTGGTAGAACTACGTTTTTAATTTTACTGAAATAGCGTGAGTATATTAACGCACCTAACAGTAGTCTGGAACAATACAAAAGGCGATATATGTCATAGTAGCTAGGGAATTTTCCAACTGTTGTCAGATAGACATTAAAATCTTGTAAACAAAGAGATTTCCATTTTTTATTAAATGATATGCAGCTGTAGTACATAAATCTACATGTACACGCGAGCTTTGTCAGAGTAGGTGCATCAGAGTATGATAGGATCAATAGCAATGCATCATGTGGTATCTCTAAAAAATATATTGCACAATTTTATATATATATGTATGTATATATATGTATGTATATATATGTATGTGTGTATGTATGTATGTATGTATGTATGTATGTATATATATATATATATATATATATATATATATATATATATATATATATATATATATATATATATTCCAAAAGGGTTTAAGTGCCACTGATTCTCATTTTTAGTTTACTGCATAGATAGGTTATAAGTGCCACTGATTCTCATTTTAAAAAAGATGGGAGAGATATACAGCTCATAGTTGAATAGAAATAAAACATAGAATGCTCACTAATTATTATTTAATCTTTATTATTGTTATTTACTTTTATTATTATTATTTAAACTTAATAAATAACGGTCAAAATTATAAATTTTTGGCGCTTACACCCTTTTGGAAATGCACAATATATATATATATATATGTATATATATATATATGTATATATATATATATATATGTATATATATATATATATATATATATATATATATATATATATATATATATATATATATATATATATATATATATATATATATATATATATATATATATATATATATATATATTGACAATGTGTATATATATATATATATATATATTGTATTATATATATATATATATATATATATATATATATATATATATATATATATATATATATATATATATATATATATATATATATATATATATATATTTACAATGTAGAGATCGGCGCAGTGGAGTTTCCACTGAGAGGGGAGATTGTCTTTATGCTCCAGAAATTGATTTAGTTTTTATGTGTATTGATAAAATATTTTTCTGTTTGGAATACTTTATCCGTCTATCCTCTATATATCATTTCAGTCGGCACGGTACGTTTTTTAAACGTTTAAACGTTTTTATTTGGTTTAAATCATATAAAAGCGTCCAAAGAATGTTTTAGAAATATACCGTGCCCACTAGGCTGTATATTCTAAGAATATTTTAACAAAATGATATTTTTGTAAATATTTTTAATATTACTTATTCCAACAAATGCAAACAGCAAATGAAAATGAAAATAACTTGGTTCAAAAAAAAGAAAGATTCTAGTTCAGCATTAATTGAAAAATACTCCCTTCAATTTAAAAATTTAGGGATGAAACCGGTTTTAATTTTTATTTTTTGATTCTGCATTACCTGTAATAGTAACATTGTTTTCTTGTCTTTCGCTTTCTTGTCTATCGCTTTTTTGTATTTTCTTACACTCGAGAGGTAACTCTGTAATAACTTGCTTTTCTGAAGAAAAAAAAATCAAGTTAATGCTTTTATTCATATTTGTTTTTCATATTCTGATTTTCCTTAACAGTCAAAAAATCTTTCCGAATTTGACGTCACAAAAATGAAGTTTATTTAATAATAATTTTGCTGTTTATTTAATAATAATTTTGCTGAAAGATATTTTCATTTTTTGCTTCTGTTTTTATTTTAAATTATGTTATTCAATACAACTTGTATTTGATAATATTATTGGTTCAGGAAAGCAACAACTATGTACGAATGTCGCTTTTCAGGTCTAAGGATTTTTTTTCAGTGCTCTAGCTAATTAGCTAGCCTCATAAATAATGAAGTGAAGTTGTTTTATATTAAGACACTCTTCAAACACGTTTTATTTAAAGCATTAAACTCGGGAACAAATTTGTAGTACCATTAACTTAAGAAAAAGTATTTATGCGCTAAGAAATTTCGTGTAATAATTTAATCATAGGAATTAGTTTTTGCGTTTCAAACCATTTATATATATATATATATATATATATATATATATATATATATATATATATATATATATATATATATATATATATATATATATATTTTTTATATTTTCATAATTATTTTGCGATTTCGACCCTTTTTTGCCAAAAATAAATAAATTAAATATATATTAAAGTGATTAATACTCGAAAAAACGTAAAAATATTTGCGCGGAATATCCAAAATTTAGATTATGCGTAATATTTTGATTATTGCGCTTCAGTAACCGCGAAATCTAATTACATAATTTTTTTTTCCATCGTGTATTTTGTTTACTTTAGGGAACTCAAGGAGACGCCAAACAAATTGTCCCCTAATTCATGTGTGCTTATGTGAATGGATTAATCTCGCTGTTTCGTTTTTCTATTTATTTGTTTTTGGAAATATTTTTATATTAACTGCGTTAAAGAAGTTTTGAAATAAATTCCCCTGACAATTCCCCCCTTCATATTTTATATGTTTTCGGTTTAAATATGTCTTATATATGTGACTTATTTAATATGAAGTTTTTAATATTTCATTGTAATTGGTTTATTATTTATTTTTTTATATATTTTCTAGTATTTGCGTTTAAAAAGAGGTGTTATTTGATATATATTATATAGGTTGATAATTATATATTTTCTTTATATATATATATATATATATATATATATATATATATATATATATATATATATATAGCATTCATGCAGTGTCACACTTAAATTTTATTTAAAGTTTTGTGTGCCTAAATAATCTCTAAAAAAAATGTGAGGGTGCTCAATAGTTACATCAACTAATTCTTATGTCTTCCAATTAAAGTTTATAGTGCGTCACTGCATCTATACATAAAAGCAAATTTTTATTGTATTTTTTATAAAATAAAAAGTAATGTCTGTTTTGTCGTTTTTAAATGACCAGTAATGCGCTACTTTATTTTATTATGCAAAATGAGCGATCAATGTTCTTAAAGAATTGAACTATCGGAATACTTTACTAATATATTATTGGTGTTAAGGAACTTTTAAAATTTAACAAAATTAAAAATTTTGTTAAATTTCAACTGCCTAGGATTTTTAACTCATTTAAAAAATGGGTTAAAAATCAGTTTGAGTCTTAAAGAAATTTCTTTTTGCGCACATATTTAAGATACAAGCTTCTATTCAAATATTTTTTTTTGAATGTATTTTGTAATAATGTTAAAGACGAATTTAATTTAGAACTAATTGACGGCTAAAGTATACATAAACATACATCATTATTGCAATTATTTTTATTATAGTTTAAGCATGCACGCGTTATCTCCAGGTGGTGTTAGTACAAACGTTAGCAAGTTTACTACCACGGCAAATTTAATAAAAAACGTTAAGCATGAAAAACTATCAACGTACTCGTTTTAAGTCATTAATTATTCATGACTTATTTTTAAGTTAAGTTCCCGCTTACTCGGACTCTGAAGGGGTAACCCTAACCCCGACTTAAGCAAAGCGAATGTCCGAATTAAGCAAAGCTCTCGTAAAGTCGGCTTTTTGAAAATGTCCGACTTAATGAGATTTCAAGACTTATCAAATGTTCTTCGATATATAAGTATTATGTACAGAACATTATAATCTTATGTGAGATATTTTTTTGTATATATAATGTATACTATAAACGAAAAAGTCCGATATTGGTGTTTGTTTTAGTGATTCGCACAACTCTTTTTCAAACAGCTAAAAAAAATATATTTGTACACAAAAGAGAACTCATTAAGTTTGAAACTTGATGAATAGACAAGCTTTAAAAATTGACGATATTTAAACGTAAATGTGCATTATTCGGACGGAAGCTATGATAACCTGGGTCTTATAAGAATTTATGGTAATTGTTCAGCTGAAGTTTTGAAAAATCTACTTTAAAAAAACTTTCCAGTTTTAAAATTAACTTGAATGATGTTTTGGTAATAACAACCGATGGAGCATCTGTTATGAAAATATTTGGGAGAGAGTCATTATTTATGTTCCACCAATTATGTCTTAATCATGGTATTCAGTTCGCAATAACCGACATTATTTATAAAAAATTAAAATCTAAAAGCTATTTAAATGATGATTAAGAGTTTTCTTCTGCTGAAGAATCTGATCAAGATTTAGATTCAGAAAATGAAGATGATGATGTACAAGTAGTACATCATTGCTAATGAAGAACTTGGAAATGAATACATTTTAGAAGATTAGGAAGATTTTAAAATAGTTTTGAAAAATGTTCGCAAAATTGTAAAACTTTTCAAGAAATCAGCGGTAAAAAACTGTCTTCTTCAAAAATATGTTTAAATGGACCATGGAAAAGAACTGAATCTTATGTTGGATTCAGGAGTCATGCAGTTATTTTTAAAAACCTGAAATAAAACTTGATGTCTTGTGTTTTTTGAAAACTTATTATAAAAACTTGAAATAAAACTTTCTAAATTTATAATGCAATTTTTTTTTATCATAATTTTCTTTTTAGAAAAAAATTCTTAAAAATGTGATTTTTGACATTTAAAAAATTTCCCGGTTCCCGGGAAATCCCAGGATCTTCCAAATTTTCAATCCCGGGAATGAAAAAAAGTTCGAGAACGGCACCCACTATTTTTCACTGTTTCATCCGACATTTCGCTTCCTTCTTCTTCTTGCATTTCTTCTTCATTTACCTCAATGAATTACTTTTTATACAAAAACTATTAATCTTTCCATGACAAATTTTAAGTAAAAGGTTTTTTCTTATCGGCAGTATTAGCGATGACTTTCTTAAATTCTACAGAGTATTAGATTTTAACAAACTCTATTGAGATTTAATTGCAGATTAAGCCAAATACAACGCAAACATTTTTAGGACTTGAATTTGGTGTCCTTCCGTAACAATGAATGTGTGTCTTTACGTGACAATTGGATTACTTCTTGTTTCAGTTTATTTTATACTTGTGTAACTATAATTGTGATAAGATTTTTTGGTTTCTTTTTGCTTTCAGACTATAACTAATTTAAAAAAAAAATGGAAAAGTCTAGTTCACAAAGACAGAAGGAATATTTAGACTGAAAAAAAACTAATAATGAGAAATATCTTAAAAAAAGAAAGAGAGCGAAAGAAGGCAAAGTTAGAACTTTTAAAGCAAAACACAAAAGAATATGTCTTAGTTGAAAAAAGACAGAGAAAGAGAAAAGTTGGAAAAAACTTTGAAAAAAAAAAACAAGTAAAAATGTTAAGATATTGTTTTATATGTAATTAGCACTTTTTAATTGCAAATATTTTTGCTTTTATTGTAAAACTATTATTTTGATTTATGTTCATTATATTATTTATTATAGTTCCTTATGTATTTTATTAATACGTTTATTTTTACTCATTTTTTCTCTTTGGATAAAAATTATCTTATTTTCAGATGGAAACAGTATACAAAGATGGAACAACTAATCAAGGGGTATATCGTTCATAAGCCAAATTCAAACGAGCTATGCCAAAAAAATGTCCACTTCAAGTTAAAGTTTTATCTGCTCTTGTGCAAAGTTTATCACCAAAAAACAACAACAATATTTTATTAATTCTAGAAGAAAGTTTTAAAATTATTAATCGTGAAAATAATCTTATTATACTAAGTAAAACACCAAAAGAGGATTGTCGATGTGAAACTTGTGAAAATGGTGAACTTTTGCTACAGGCAATAAAAAAATATTTTATCAAAGAAAAAATAAATAGAATTGCTGAAAACCTGCCAGCTGAACCATTAGATCTTGTGGAACTTGGTGTATGGTCTGTCAAGTCACCTATATGCATGAAAGGCAATTGTTTAAAATGTTCTGCAAGAACCATAATATCTGATTTGTGTAAAGAATTAAAAAAAAAAATGATATTTTTTCATATTACCGTTGGATAACCTATAAAAAGGTTGTTTGCAAAGTTCAAGAAAAGCTGGAGAAGAAACTGCAAAATTTTAAGCAGTTTTTAACCAGTGCTATGCATTAAAACTTCTTACCACTGCATTGCAAAATGGTCTGAAAAACATAATTTTTGCATAAAAACTTCTTCCACTGCATTGCACATTGGTCTGAAAAACTTAATTTGTGCATAATAGTGTCTCTATTTTTGTTTTTTTTTTCTATAAATACATGTTCAAAAACTTTTTTTTTCTCTCTGTACAATTGTACTTAATAATTGTAGTAATACAAACTGATGTAACGACTATTGTCGCCAAGCATAAAGTTTAAAGTTAATACTTTAACAGCCGTTAACAAATGTTTATTTAGTCTAGCTTTAAAAGAACTTACTGTCATTGCAGAAACCATTTTTTCAGGTAAAGCATTTCAATCTATCACCCTGTTCGTAAAAAAATTATGTCTCAGGGTTGTTTTTGCAAATTCTCTATCAAATTTTATTGGATGACATCTTAGATTTTGGGAAGAAGCTTTATTAAGCTCTTTATACCACAATATCTTATCAGTTCCAGTTGTTAATTTGAAAAACGCAATGAGATCACTTCTTGAACGTCTTGTTTCCAGAGTTGTGAGAACTAACTTTTTCAAACTTTCAGTATAACTTAGATGTTTTAGTTTCGGTTTTCGGAATTTTTTCTAGATCATTGATATTGTTTTTTGCTACCTAAATTGTTAAAAATAGTTCAAATATTTTATAAAATATTCCTTATATTTAAGGTGGAAAGCTGGTAAAACATCATGAAGAATTAGGATTTTTTTATATTATTTGTTTTGTATTCAAAATTTATCATAGATTTCAAAAATATATATTGTCATTTTTATTTATTTTTTATTTTAAAAAACAAAGCTTTTTAGGGTATGGTAAAAGTTTTATTTTTGCGGTGCACAAAAAATTATTGAAATTGGTCAAAATAGTTTTTTTTTTCTATTACTTTATTTCAATCTGCATGGGTTATCCAGGCCTGTATGGATTTTCTACTTTTATAAAGCAGTGTTGCGGAGTCACCCTAGAAGTTATAGTTAAATAACATTTTCACTGATGAACTTAATTATATAACTTGACAGTGCTTTTATAACACTTTTTTCACTACGCTTTGTTTATTTTGTATTGCTCTTTTATTTTTGATAGCAAATAAAAATAACGTCGTTTGGAACACAAGAAGAAGAAGAAGTTAAAAAAATCAACACAAAGCTCTAAATAATAGTATTCTTTTAGTAGAATCTAACATAAACAATGAACCTTGTCAAGTTTTGTTTTTAGCAAACGGAGAAAAAGAAAGTCTAATCCATTAACAAGTTCTTCAAAATTAAATGGATCAATAAGCAAACTCTTACATAGTAAAACTAACCCTGATGATTTATTTTTTCTTTTTAACTTAAACAAATTCAAGGAGCTGGTAAGTAAAGTTTTTGCATGTCCCATATGCAGCAGCAGAGATGTAAATGTTTGTCATCAAGATCAAAGAAAAAGAGGGTTTAACATTTAGTTTCAATAAACATGTTTAAACTGTACCTGAATTTATAATTGTTTTTCTTCTCCTGATATTCAACTTCCAAGTAAAGATTGTTGTAAAAAATCGTCTGATTGTAAAAATTGTTGTAAAAAATCGTCCGATGTAAATGTTAAGTTATCAGTTATTGCATTTCGTGAACTGGGTAAAGGACATGATGCACTAAA